GCCCCCTGGTACATTCTTGCCAGTTTCTCCCTTGACAAATGGAGTAATTTTTGCTATGAAGTACACCCTAGCACAGGATTACTCTGAAAAGACTGATTACTGCATTTGTTTTTGGTTTTTTGGAAACTTCAGACTCATATCTTTCTGTTTCTATTCACGTTTGTTTCTATACTAGAACAGTCTCCTCCTTTACATCTGCTTCTTCTCTTTCTGGTTTTAAATGTATACATTCAGAAATTAACAGAATGAACAGAGAAGGCTGAGAAATACAGATACACAGTGTGCACAGAAGATTTGTCACAGTGACATTTCTTATTATTTGTTTGTAATTAAAAAATAAAAAAGCATAAACTGTGTAATTTATGTATGTGTAAATACTGTACTTACTGTACTTAATGATGACACTAATTGGTGCAATTACAGCAGATCTGAATGTCCGTGTGGACACTGTGACCTCATACACACAGCTGTAGTTGCCCTGCTGTTCATACTCAGCTACAGGGAAACTAAATGAGGCTGAGTTGTTGACTGCTGGCTCTGTGAGGTTGGAGCCAGAGAAGCTGAGAATAAAATGTCCACTGGAAAATGTGGAGTTAATGGAACAGGTGAGGACAAAGCTGTAACCCCTGGTGATCTGTGCACCTTCAGGACCCCAGACAAGTCCTGCATTCGGAGACGTCAAGGAGATGCTGGGCCTCTGCAGTCTCACTGTGTGAAAGTGACATTGGGATTAAGGACAGAAGTCCAGCATTCACTCTTTTAGGCCTCAACTTAACATTTAGCTCTTTAGCTGCTAAATGCTCCACAGTGTGTAATAGTTTGTTTCCAGTAGTCTGTGTTTCGTCCTGAGTACTGTGGGCTTTGAGAGCATTTTGTCAGCCACCCAGAAATTTTATGAAAAAAGAGCTGCTGTTCTAAATACAAGAAAGAACTACTGCAGTATCCTCTTATAAGCATTGCTATTGATTATTTATGATCATACTTGTATTTGTTTTCTTACCTGTAACAGAGAGCCTAACAGAGTCACTTGTTGGGGAGTAAAATTGTTGACTTGGGCCGCTTTCCTGATACTGACACTGGTACAATCCCTCATCATCAAAGTCTACTTCAGGAATATTGAAGGTAGCAGAGTTTGTGTTTGAGTTTTGGGTCCTGTTGAATGAATCTGATGTTTTCATCAGAATGAACGTTCCACCTAAAGTTTGAGTTGAGATTGAACAAGTGATTCCAATGTTCTGACCCCAGGTCACCTCACCAGCAGGACTGATGGAGATATTGGGTTTTGGAAAGATTACTGAAAAGAGACACACAACACCAGCACAATAATACATTTGTTGTAGCTCACTGAGCGCCCTACTTATAGAAAACAAATGAAACATGATGTTCAGGAAAGTGTATTTCTTCTTACCAGTAACAGAGATTCTGACAGAGTCACTGAGGGGGGAGTTGAATGTGTTACTTGAAATGCGTTTCTCATACTGACACTGGTACAGTCCATCATCACTGAAGTCCACTCTGTGGATATTGAAGGTAGCAGATCTGGATCCTGTTTCAGTCTGACTGAAATTACTTGAGGTTTTCTTGAGGGTGAAAGTTCCATCTAAGAACTCAGATGAGACGGAACAAGTGATGCTGATATTCTGACCCCAGCTAACCTGACCTTCATTTACAGAGATGCTGGGTTTTGGGAGACTCACTAACAAAAAAAAAAGAAAAGAAAAAAAGAATAGTGTTAGTTTTAATAGATCACAAAGTCAAGCTACACCGATGTCCTCAGCTAATCCCAATAACAATCCATATGGCTCAACTGATACCAGTTTACATATCCAACTGGTAATTCTCTTTAGTGACATTCTCAGTGCAAGCCACTTTGCAACCCGCTATCACCTCCACTTTCCCTTCTCAAGCTCTACATGAATCAATACCATGTCTGCTGGCAATAAAATCCAGTTTAGAAAAGATGAGAGCAAGATGGTATCTGGGACAGAAACTGCTAACACAACTTTGGCTCTTTCCAAGCATAGACAGTATATTAACACTAGAGGTGGGAAGTAACAAAGTACAAATACTTTGTTACTGTACTTAAGTACAATTTTCAGGTATCTGTACTTAAGTACTTTTTTTCTGACTACTTTTTACTTTTACTCCCTACATTTTTAAACAAATATCTGTACTTTCTACTCCTTACATTTTCTAAACTTGCTCTTTATCTCTGGTTTAACGCATTTGGGGGGAGTTATTGTTTGTTACCGCTAGCCTTCATGACACCAGTTTAAACCTAGACAGTGACACTTGAAAGGCAGTCCTGTTCATTTATTAATCACCAGGGATGGCAAGAGAGGTAAAGAGAGAAAGAGAGATGGCATTGGCCAACGTTTATGGGTTAAAAGTGGGACAGTGGTTTATTTTATGTTTATTTTTTTTGTGTTTTTTTGCACAACACTGAAACGACTGTAGGTGTCTGTAAGTTGCAGTTGCAGTATCTAGCTAGCCCTACTGAAGAGGAATGAAAATGAGGGGAGTGACTTTTTAAGTGTCAGGTCATTTCAAATGCAACATTTTTATCAGCTCAACAAACATCAGCAAACACACAAACTGTTTGTGAGCAGTTTGTCTCACAGTGTGTTGCTAGCTAAAGGTCCAGCTACTTTATTTCACAGGTAGAGAAATAAATCTTACCCAGAGTTGGAGAAAGATAAGAAAGATTGGACAAGACGAACAGAGGTTAGATTTGAAGGTCTCAGTGGGATTCAGTGTAAGTCCTCATGTTTTTAAAACGGACATTGAGCCAGTACATACGAAATTGTGTTTTGCAGGATAAACAGGTTAATTTGCTATAATGTGGTGGATTTAAAGTAAAGAACAGTGTGTGACTGGTGCACAGTGGCTGTGGTTTCATGGTCAGAGTTAGGTTACGTCTGCGGTGTAATTGCATTCCACAGCAGGATGTTAACGGAACCAGTGTGAATGCGGAAGTGAATGTGAGCGCGAATGGTTGTCTGTCCCTGTGTGTTAGCCCTGCGACAGACTGGCGACCTGTCCAGGGTGTACCCCGCCTCTTGCCCTGTGACAGCTAGGATAGGCTCCAGTGCCCCCCGAAATCCTGAAAAGGATAAGCGGAAGCGAATGGATGGATGGATGTTAACGGAACCAATCAGTGTAATTAGTTAGGATGGCAGCTAGGGGGCGAGACTGGTGGTGTCAGCGGGGCCGAGCACGGCGTTCAGCATCCAGCAACTGGAGTCCTCTGACTTTTCAAAGCCGCAAGAGTAGTCCAAATGGATACCAAGGTTCAAAAGATTTTCTCTTGCAAGTAATTTGAATGTGAGTTTGGAAGAGAACCAAGTCAACATTTTGATTTATTTCTTCACTGACTAAGTTAACTGCTAAGCAGAGGACAACATATCGGGGGTACATGATGGATTCGAGGCTGTTTTCAGCGTGCTTAAATTCAACATGCGCAGACAGGGAGATAATCAGAAAGGGGATGCTTTTTTTTGTGACTGTGCTCTAGGCACAAGCACAACACTGCAACTATGGAGTGCTACATGATGAGCTGATACGTGACAGGCTTGTTGTCGGTCTCACAGACAAACGGCTGTCAGAATGCATGCAGCTTGACTCAGATTTGACCCTGCAGAAGTCTATCAACATATTGTTGAAATCTCCCAATTCTTTGAATCTTTGGGCTGAAGGAAGGACAATACTCGGTGTATTTATGCTCAATCAACAATCATTTATTTCCATACAATTCAACACTTAAGAGCATAAGAACCATCATGATGGGGAGACATGCCTGAAGAGGGTCACAGCAAGTCTCAAAATGGTGACGGGTTGCTCAGCTTTTTATAGTCTCTAGTGGCCCCCATCTAGTCGTAAAAGCCAAAACATCACATTCTTTCTCTGTTACAGCGCCTAAGTTATGACCTCGGCAGTTGTTTCTCTGCTTTCTGTAAGGTGGGGGTGTGGAATGTGGTCTGTCTATCTCCCCTGTCTTAGACACAGAGTCTCCTGCTTACAATCTTCTCTTCATGATTCAACAATTAAGCATGTAACACATTCACAGCAGATCAAGGATACAGAGTGATGCACACTTGTCTAATAAACTAATAAGTGAATATGTTCTTTTAACTCAAAAGTATAACGAGAACTAAACTACATACAGCTCACACACTCTATATTAAAGGGTATAATATGATCTACAGCAGTATTCTAATTCAACTACTTTGATTACATATTTAAGGTAACATATGATAACAGAATAATATCACAATATCAACATAAAGTCAGACATAAGTACAGCTGGACTGGCCATCAGGCATATTGGGCATTCGCCTGGTGGGCCGATGATATTTTTTTGTTCTCATGAGCTTTTTTGTTTTTTTTTTTTTTTTTTTTGTAATGGTATAAACAATAAAAGGTGGTGGATTGGCCAATGTGTCATGATTGACCCTGGGCTGGACCATTTACAGCTGAGGACGTCGGACACACCCTCCCGTTTGCTTGGGCAGCGGCTCTGAAACCAATCTTATCATGGACAAACAGAAGAAAATGGTTTTGTGGTATCCTTATTGAGGTTAAAAAGAACGTGATTTGTTCCGTTCTTCAGCTAGAATGAAAATAAGACACAAAGCTGGAGTTATTCTGTCTTTATGCTGCACAGCTGCCTCTTCTTCTGTCATTCTCTCCCTCTCCTGTTGCTACTTCAATCATGAAACTGATCAATGATCAGCTGATTGGCTTTTCTGTTGCAAGTTCCGTCTCTCTTGTTTGTTTATCGCCCACTTTGTGACAGAAAGAGGAAACCTGTGGATGTCATGCTAAACAACAGCAGTATGGTTAAGCTTGATAAGCTGTTTTTAGAATTTATTTAATATTACTTTCAGGTATCAGCTGATGTTTGCTGGAGCCACAGCCGTAAAAGCTGCTGGTCATGATATCGGTTTGGATATCTGGTGAGAGGGAAACATGAAGATGAAACCAGGAGAGGTCCTTCCCACATCGCAAGCAGGTCTGGCCCGGATCTGGTATCAAGCCTGCACTGCTGGCTGACTTCTGGCATGATAAGACGTATGTCATCCAGATATGGGCCAGGCCTGGCATAGATTGCGCTGTCCATAGCGTTTGGAATGCCATATCTGGCTCGATTGTGATTTGGTTCATGTGGCCCAGACCCATAGAAAAATGGGTCTGGCCCAGATCTGGCATCAAGCTGGCATTTCTGACTGACCGGTGTCATGGCTGCATGTCAACCAGATGTGGGCCAGGTCTGGCAATGATGGCAATATTTATGTTCCTATTTTAGTTAGAAGACTCAAATGCCATGTTGCAATACTATACTGCTATGGTAGCCAACATTACAAATGCAGGTTTGACAGGTTTGTGAGTGTACACTTTAGCCAAAACTTAGTGACGGTTTGCTCATCTTTGCCAGTGCGTAGCTGTAGCTCAGGAGGTAGAGCAGGTCACCGACTGATCGGGAGGTTAGTGTCAAGTCTGAATGTGTATGAATGTAGTTAGGAAGCGCTCAGTTTAGAGAAAGTGTGTGATTGGGTAAATGTGGCATGTTGAGCAATCTGGGAGAATAGAAAAGTGTTGTATAAGAGTCAGTCCATTCACTGTCTGATCAGAGTTTTGTCATTTTACTTTTGCACTATTATGCACATGTTGTTATTACATGGCTTGATTAAGGTAGACATTAGGCTGACATCTGGGTCCAGAGCTGAACCTGTTCAGGGCCAGCACAGGGCCAGCAGTGTGCTTGCAACTGGCCCGTGGCTGCACACAACTTACACATGGCCCACATACTGCAAAGAATGACGACCCTTTGGTGGCCCAGATCATGTGTCTGCAACTGTGGTTGCAAACACATTACCAGGGAAAGAGGGGCACAAAGAAATACTTTTCTTTCTTATTGTCATTTTAATTCTCTATCTTTTAATAAATAATCATCTGAATCTTGCAACCAAAGTGGTCATCTGATGTAAAGTGTATAGCAATTGTCATTAGGGTTGCCAACGTCCATTAAAAAACGGAATCGTCCCGTATTTAGAAACAAAAGTACACGTCCCGTATTGAGCTAATAA